CGACGACGACGACGACGACGACGGCGGCGGCGGCGGCGGCGGCGGCGGCGGTAGTGACGACGACGACGACGACGACGACGACGACGACGACGACGACGACGACGACGACGACGACGACGACGACGACGACAGCGAAGATCACATTCGGGGGCCTTTGGGTTGTAGTTTTGGGGTTTCTTGTGGGGTTTGTGGGGGCCTCTTGGGGGCCTCGTGGGGGCCTCTGGGAGCTTTCTGGGGGATCTCTTGGGGGCCTCTTGGGGCCTCTTGGGGGTTTTTTGGAGGGCATTTGGGAGCTTCCTGGGAGCCTCTTAGGCCGAAGGCTCGAAATGTCCGTTCGTGTCCCCCGTCTGGGCTCCAAGAGGGAGCCGTCTTGGGGGACTCTTGGGCTGTCTCGGGGGCCTCTTGGGCGGTCTTGGGGCCCTTTTTGGCGCCGGCCTCTTGGTCGATCTCGGGGCCCTCTTGGGCTGTCTTGGAGCGTCGGGAAGCCGACAAAGCGAGGACGCCAGAATCCTTCAACAAGTGAAGACACGTCTGTGTTTGGGAGTGCGCCTGGAGGCCTCTTGGGGCGTGTTGAGAACTTCTCGAGCCGTCTGGAGGCTATTTTGGCGTCTTGGACCGAATACTCGGCGGCTCGGGGCCCTCGAGGACCGTCTCGGGGGTCTCTCGGGGCACTCTTGCTGCGTCTTGTGGCATCTTTGGGCCCCGGAGCCAGCCGGGGGGGATGCGCATCTGGGGGGCGAGCCCGCCAGGGCTCCCCCCCCCGTCTGGGACCCCCCCCCGGGACCCCCCGTTCTGGCGGGAAAGGGCGGGGCTTCTCTTCGGCTCAGCTGCGACGTTGCTCAATGCCCGTTTGGCTGGCGCGCTCAAGGAGGAGGGCCCAGGGAAAGGAGACGGGGGACGACGGAGGCGACGATTGACGGAGGCGACGAGGAGACGACGGAGACGCAGACGACGACGGAGACCACGAGGAGACGACGGTGACGCCACGACGACGAGGGCTCAGGGAAAGGAGACGGGGGACGACGGAGACGGCGATTGACGGAGTCGACGAGGAGACGACGGAGACGTAGACGACGACGGAGACGACGAGTAGACGACGGTGACGACACGACGACGACGACGGCGACCAACGGACGACAGGGTCGGCGGATTTCGGGGTCCGGGCGGGGCCACGGCCTTGGCGGCAGGGGGGATGGTGCGGGGCCATGCCGCACAGGACAGCAACAGGGCAGCGAATGCTTCCCGTTCGATACGGGAGGCCACCGGGGCACGCCTCCTGACTGTTTTCTCATGTGAGCGAGACGCCCTGTTCCAGGACCGCATGTATGTGACGATGGGCAATGCACGCCGTTCTCCGTTGTCAGCATGCTTCAGAATCAGCGTCCTGGTCTGGCGCTCCGGCTGCGACAGTGCTGTAGCGCATCGGACAACGCCAGGGTGCAGGCCGAAGCCGTGCGGCGGAATGACCGCGCCGTGCTCTGTTCACCAGAGTTAAGTCGGGCCTGTCCCCCTACAGGGGGATTTTCGACGAAAAATAAAGAATACCCAACAAATAGTAAAAAAAAAATGCAAACATAGTCTGGGGACTATTTTTGCAGTATTTTTTGACCTTCTTGGGGCAGTTTGGCGGTATTTCCCAACCATCCTGTGGTGTTGGGTCCTCGTTTTGAAGAGACGGTCCCCGCGTCCCTCCTTCCTCCTTCCTCCTCCTCCCCCTCCTCCTCCGCACACCCATGTCGGCACACCCCTCACACCGTTCGTGGCCCCATAGGGAGCTCCACCGAAGGCCCCAGTGCTGCCGCCCGCATGCGTCCCGCACACCCAATTCGGCACACCCCTCACACCTTTCGTGGCCCCATCGGGAGCTCCACCAAAGGCCCCAGTGCTGCCGCCCGCATGCGTCCCGCACACATACAAATCGGCACACCCCTAACACGTTTTCGTGCCCCAAGGGACCCCACCGAAGGCCCAGTGGCTGCCGCCCGCATGCGTCCCGCCACACCATGTCGGCAACACCCCTCACACGCTTCGTGGCCCCATGGGGGGCCCCACCGAGGGCCCCAGTGCTGCCGCCCGCATGCGTCATGCACACCCAATTCGGCACACCCCTCACACGTTTCGTGGCCCCACAGGGAGCCCAACAGAAGGCCCCAGTGCTGCCGCCCGCATGCGTCACGCACACCCAATTCGGTACACCCCTCACACGTTTCGTGGCCCCATATGAGCCTCCACCGAGGCCCCAGTGCTGCCGCCCGCATGCGTCCCGCACACCCAATTCGGCACACAATTTACAAGTTTTCGTGTCCCCCTCGGGAGCCCCCGAGGCCCCAGTGCTGCCGCTCGCCTGCGTCCCCACACAACACATTGCCGGCACACACCCTCACACGTTTTCTTGATCCTCGTGCTTGCCACCGGAGGCCCCAGTGCTGCCGCTCGCATGCGTCCCGCACACCCAATTCGGCACACGCCTCACACGTTTCGTGGCCCCATCGGGAGCTCCACCGAAGGCCCCAATGCTGCCGCCCGCATGCGTCCCGCACACCCATTTCGGCACACCCCTCACACGTTTCGTGGCCCCATAGGGAGCTCCACCGACGGCCCCAGTGCTGCTACCCGCATGCGTCCCGCACACCCAATTCGGCACACCCCTCACACTTTTCGTGGCCCCATAGGGAGCTCCACCGAAGGCCGCAGTGCTGCCGCCCGCATGCGTCCCGCACACCCAATTCGGCACACCTCTCACGTTTCGTGGCCCCATAGGGAGCTCCACCGAAGGTCCCAGCGCTGCCGCCCGCATGCGTCCCGCACACCCATGCCGGCACACCCCTCACACGTTTCGTGGCCCCATAGGGAGCTCCACCGAAGGCCCCAGTGGCGGCGCTCACATGCACATGCACATTCGGCACACCCTTCACACGTTTCGTGGCCCAGTCATCCACCGGAGGCCCCAGTGGCGGTGCTCACATGCGTCGCCCGCACCCACCCACTTCGGCACACCCCTCAAAGGTTTCGTGGCCCCATAGGGAGCTCCACCGAAGGCCCCAGCGGCCGCGCTCACATGCGTCCCCGCCACCCATCCCGGCACGCCCCTCACAACAACAGGGTTCGTGGCCCCATAGGGAGCTCCACCGAAGGCCCCAGTGCTGCCGCCCGCATGCGTCACCACCCGCACCCAATTCGGCACACCCCTCACACGTTTCGTTGCCCCATCGGGAGCTGCACCGAAGGCCCCAGCGGCGGCGCTCACATGCGTCCCCGCCACACATCCCAGTACACCCCTCACGCGCTTCGTGGCCCCATATGGAGCTCCACCGAAGGCCCCGGTAGCGAAGCTTGCATGCGTCTCCGCCACCCATCCCGGCACGCCCCCCGCAGCAGCATCATGTTTCGGGGCCCCATAGGGAGCTCCACTGGAGGCCCCAGTGGCGGCCCTCACATGCGTTTCCGCCACCCATGTCGGCACGCCCCGCGCGTGTTTCATGTCCCCACAGGGAGCTTCACCGAAAGCCCCAGTGGCACCCATCTCGGCACACCCCTCACACGTTCCGTGGTCCTATGGGGAGTTCTACTGAAGATGAAACCCACAGCTGCGGTACTGACAACTGCATATGGTTGGGTTCTTCGCCAGGCTAATTTTTATTTTTCGTCGGAAATCCCCCTGTAGGGGGACACGACCGACATAACACCAGAGGCAGCGCCAGGGGGTGGGCAGGCCCAGCGGGGAATGCAACGACCCCGAGTCCCCCAGTGACCGCTGACACGGGCTGCCAGCGTTCCTGCCGCCGCCCCCCTCCCTTTCTTGCCGCCTGCCCTCTCTTCGTCCCCGTCCCTCACCACCCACCAAACCACCCCAACCCAACCCGAAGGCCCAAATGTATCCTCGATTTCGAGTGGGGGGGGGGGTCGGGGAACATTGAAAAAAACACATGGAATCCGTACCCCCCCCAACCCGAAATTCTTGTCAAATTCGGGTCTTCGGGTTGGGTTGGGGTGGTCTGGTAGGTAGTCAGTCCCCAGCCTCCACGCCAGCACCGTGCGCGCCCCGCACGGGAGCCGTCTTGTGCCGTCGGCGGTCTTTTCCGCCGCGGCCAGAGAGGGAGAGAGAGAGAGAGAGAGAGAGAGTACAGTAGAGACCCATGCCAAGAGACACCCTGCTTGCCTCCAGGGTGCCCTGGGTGTCTTGGGTTTCGATGGCTTCTTGTTGATGGGAAGCGTGACTTTCCCACATCAGGCATCAATGGACGTCCTGGGGTCTTAGGGTTGGGCTTCTCGTGGAAGGCTTCTTGCGTTAAGTCGGGCCTGTCCCTCTACAGGAGAAATCTTCACAAATAGTACAAAGCAGGGGACGATTTTTTGAGTATTCTTGGCGATGTTTTACTTTTCGTCCAAAATCCCCCTGCTGGGGGACAGCCTCCCTCCGCTCCCGGGCGCCCGCGGCTGGGTCGGCGCATCTGCAGTCGTTCGGCTACTGTGCGCTCGGCTGCTGTGCCGATGCTCGGTATCGTTCAACCGATCCCCATCCCCATCCCCATCCCCTTCGAGACCCCCACCAAATTACCCCCCCAGTTGGGGGTACACCCCTCGAAACCCGAAGGGAACGGCCTACATCCCCATTGTAGGGGAGGGAAATCGGCCAGTGGGGCCCAGGCCACGCCACTGGGGATGGGGATCGGTTAAACGATACTCATGTCGGCTTCGGCCCGTTGGGTTTTCGCTGTCGGCCTGGCTTTCGGTGTCACTGGCCGCCGTGGATTGCCCTGTTCTTCCTTCCGCCCCCCCTCTGGAGTTGTGCTGTTCCAACTCACGTTAGCCTTGACCAGCAGCAAGCGTTTCGAGCGCCAGGGAAGTACCGAAACTGGAGGGTTTTCACGTGTCGGGCCCTGGGAGGCGATACTCATTCGACACTGTTTCGATTATGTTCTGGGTCCTCGAAATTGTTGCTGGGATGTGGCCCTTGAGTGCGATGGGAACAACATAACTCCGGAGAGAACGCCTGCCAGGCCGAGATGGGGCGCGCCACCCCCGCGGCCCACACCCACGAGTCCCTCCGGCCGCCCTCGATCTGAGAGGGCCAGCGAGCCCGCCGCGGCCTGGTGCGCCCCCTCTGCCACGCGCAGAGGGGGCTTCTAGGGGGAGGGTGGAAGGCTTCTTCGAAGCCCCCCCCTGCTTCTTGGGAGGCGCGGGCCTTCTCTGTAGACGTAAGGCCGGCCCCTTCTAAGAAGCAGCCTCCTTTTAAGGAGCCTTGCCCCCTCCCCTTGCCCCCGTGTGCGCGCCGCCAACCCCCTTGCAGGCCTCGGCCTGCGAGCGGCCGCTGTCGGAAGCGGACAACGGCACCGACGCTAGGCTACACGCAAGGTTGGCCGATCGCGTCCGGTTTCGGACGCTTGGACGCGTTCGTCGGTTCCTTGGGTCGCAGATCACGGGAGCCTCGTGCACCCTCGAATTATCCCGGCAAAGCAACCTAACAGCGATGTGTAGGAGCATCTCTGGAAGCATTCCCCTTACGATTCAGATGAGAATCCTGTTGTAGAATTCTGCTGTTCTCGCAGTCGTAGTCGCATTCGCGATGGCAGTCGCAGTGGCAACGGCAGTCGCAGTCACAGCCTCAGCCTCAGCCTGCCTCAGCCTCAGCCTCAGCCTCAGCCTCAGCCTGCCTCAGCCTCAGCCTCAGCCTGCTTCAGCCTCACATCAGTCTGCCTTCAGCCTCGGCCTCCATCACCCTGCATCAGCCTCCCTCAGCTCAGCCTGCCTCAGCTCAGCCTGCCAGCCTGCCTCAGCCTCAGCAGCCTCAGCCTGCCTCTGCCTCACCAGCCTCAGCCTCAGCCTGCTTCAGCCTCAGCCTCAGTCTGCCTTCAGCCTCGGCCTCAGCCTCAGCCTGCCTCAGCCTCAGCCTGCCTCAGCCTCAGCCTCAGCCTCAGCCTGCCTCAGCATCAGCCTGCCTCCTCAGCCTCAGCCTGCCTCAGCCTCAGCCTCAGCCTCAGCTGCTTCAGCCTCAGCCTCAGTCTGCCTTCAGCCTCGGCCTCAGCCTCAGCCTGCCTCAGCCTGCATCAGCCTCAGCCTCAGCCTCAGCCTGCCTCAGCCTCAGCATCAGCCTGCCTCAGCCTCAGCCTGCCTCAGCCTCAGCCTCAGCCTCAGCCTCAGCCTCAGCCTGCCTCAGCCTCTCAGCCTCAGCCTCAGCCTCAGCCTCAGCCTCAGCCTCAGCCTCAGCCTCAGCCTGTCTCAGCGCTCAGCCTCAGCCTCAGCCTCAGCCTCAGCCTCAGCAGCCTCAGCCTCAGCCTCAGCCTCAGCCTCAGCCTGCCTCAGCCTCAGCCTCAGCCTCAGCTTCAGCCTCAGCCTCAGCTCATCTGCCTTCAGCCTGCCTCAGCCTCAGCCTCAGCCTGCCTCCGCCTCCTGCCTCAGCCTCAGCCTGCATCAGCCTCAGCCTCAGCCTCAGCCTGCCTCAGCCTCCTCAGCCTGCCTCAGCCTCAAGCCTGCCTCAGCCTCAGCTGCTCAGCCTCAGCTTCAGCCTCAGCTCAGTCTGCCTTCAGCCTCGGCCTCAGCCTCAGCCTGCCTCAGCCTCAGCCTGCATCAGCCTCAGCCTCAGCCTCAGCCTGCCTCAGCCTCAGCCTCAGCCTGCCTCAGCCTCAGCCTCAGCCTGCTTCAGCCTCAGCCTCAGTCTGCCTTCAGCCTCGCCTCAGCCTCAGCCTCAGCCTCAGCCTCAGCCTCAGCCTCAGCCTCAGCCTGCCTCAGCATCAGCCTGCCTCAGCCTCAGCCTCAGCCTGCCTCAGCCTCAGCCTCAGCCTGCTTCAGCCTCAGCCTCAGTCTGCCTTCAGCCTCGGCCTCAGCCTCAGCCTGCCTCAGCCTCAGCCTGCATCAGCCTCAGCCTCAGCCTCAGCCTGCCTCAGCATCAGCCTCAGCCTCAGCCTCAGCCTGCCTCAGCCTCAGCCTCAGCCTGCTTCAGCCTCAGCCTCAGTCTGCCTTCAGCCTCGGCCTCAGCCTCAGCCTGCCTCAGCCTCATCAGCCTCAGCCTCAGCCTCAGCCTGCCTCAGCATCAGCCTGCCTCAGCCTCAGCCTCAGCCTGCCTCAGCCTCAGCCTCAGCCTGCTTCAGCCTCAGCCTCAGTCTGCCTTCAGCCTCGGCCTCAGCCTCAGCCTGCCTCAGCCTCAGCCTGCATCAGCCTCAGCCTCAGCCTCAGCCTGCCTCAGCATCAGCCTGCCTCAGCCTCAGCCTCAGCCTGCCTCAGCCTCAGCCTCAGCCTGCTTCAGCCTCAGCCTCAGTCTGCCTTCAGCCTCGGCCTCAGCCTCAGCCTGCCTCAGCCTCAGCCTCAGCCTCAGCCTCAGCATCAGCCTGCCTCAGCATTCAAAATGTGGCCCGGGAATGGAGTTCTGGGAACTCGAAGAACACGAAGTGGCCTACAGTTGGCTCCGGGCATTCAAAATCATGCCCAGGAATGGAGTTCTGGGAACTCGAAGAGCACGAAGTGGCCTACAGTTGGCTCCGGGCATTCAAAATGTGGCCCGGGAATGGAGTTCTGGGAACTCGAAGAGCACGAAGTGGCCTACAGTTGGCTCCGGGCATTCAAAATGTGGCCCGGGAATGGAGTTCTGGGAACTCGAAGACCACGAAGTGGCCTACAGTTGGTTCCGGGCATTCAATGTGGCCCGGGAATGGAGTTCTGGGACCTCGAAGACCACGAAGTGTGTAACTGCTGGCTACAGAAAAGTCCCCGGCCCCCCCCCGGATCGCGCCCAGACCCCCCTGGGGCGTCATGATGCTCTCTTTTGACCCTACTAGAAACCTACCAGTCTTCGCTGTTAGGTAAATTCCGTTATTAGAGTGCTTCAGCGTCAGTTAGCGTCCGGTAATCAATGTGATAGTGGCGATTTAGCGCCGATCAGCGTCGATTGGTGTCGATTCGCTTTGTTTTAGCCTCGACTGACGCAAGAATTAACACTATGGAATGGGAGGCTCCCATGAGCAGCCACCGAAGGTTCCTGGATGTGTTCCTGCCTGGGGTGCGTTCTAGCAGCGGCGCCTCGCCGAGAGCGTTCCTGTCCGAATCTTCCCGAGCGGCCGCTGGATATCCGAGTTCTGGCCCGAAGGCTGAGTGTCCCCTCGCCAGAGATGAGACGCTACCGTGAGCACCACCACAAACTACAATTTCCGTTGCGGTGTCTTTCGGTGGTGACTTTGCTCTTTACGCCGGTACATGTTTGTATAGATCTCTATTTTGGAAGCACCTCGAGTTTTCGTGTGTGCCACGAAGGACCTCGATGGTTTGCGCGCGTGTGTCATGGAACACCTCGATGTTCGCTCGTGTGCGCCATGAAGGATCTCGACTTATACTGGTGCGCTCCATGAAACACTTTCAGTTTTCGCCTGGACAAATACATTGACTGCTGTTTGTGCGCGCAATGGATCGCCTCGATGTTTCGCGTGCGCTCCATGACTAGTCTTTCCCCAGAAAAGACCTCGATCGTTCTCTTGGCGATTCCCGAGACGTGGCGGTCGACGAACCCGAGGATTAGCGGGTGACCGGATGGGCGGCGGGCGACCATCCCGAAAATTGGTGGGCGACCAACCCCACAATCCAGAATCGGCGGGCGACACGCCCCAGAACTGGCAACGCGACCGCTTGGCGGGCGATCGTCCCGAGACTTGGCGGGCGACCATCCCGCGGAGCGGCGGGCGCCGGCCCCAGAACTGGCAGTGCGACCGCTGCCCCGCGCTAGGCCCCGGGCGGTTATACCCTGGGCTCTGGGCGCCTCGCCCTTTTGGCCCCCAGGACCTCGGGGTTGGGGGCTGGGGCCCTGCGCTGGCGGCCCCGACGGGCCCCGAACCAGCGAGACTCCTGGGTCAAGGGAGGGAAAGCCACCCGGACCGGACAATTGGCGTTTACGAAACGGCCCTGGGCGTTTACTGAACGGCCCCGCCTCGTTCGATTCCCTTCTGTGGGCGCGGTTGCTGAACGACTGCGCGTGTCGGGGTGGTGATGATGGGGGTGGTGACTTTTCTACTTCCACGGGGGCCCCGTGGGGACGCGAGTCCCCCGCGAATACTGAGGTCAAACGTGCGGTCCGATCAAAACGCCGGGGTGGATGCCGATGTCGAACTTGAGGTCCGACTACCACCCCCTGGATTAAAAAGTTGAGATCGGAGCTACACCGAAAGAACCGCATCCTGGTATTCGTCCGTCGTTCGGCTTTCGAGCCGCGACTTTCGATCGGGACTGGATCCTGGGAAGTCGATGGTCGCTGTTCGACCGGACCTCTATCCTCGACCCTCGAAGTATCTGGGGCCCTCGATCCTCGATCCTCGAGCCTCGATCGAACCTCGATCATGGATGTTCGATCGGCCAGGCATTCTGGAGCCTGGAGTTTCGATCAAGCCTGGAACATCGGTTCTCGATCGTCGCTCTTCGATCGGCCATCCAGCGTCGAACTTCGACGGATCGTGGCCGCTCGATCCTGGCTCCTCGATGTCCGAACGGCCCTGGATCCTCGACCCTCGATCTCCGACCCTCAATCGCTAGGTGGTTGTCGAACTTTGATCGGCCGTGGAACCCAAAGCCTCGTTTCCGATCGATATGGGTTCGCTCTTCCACAGTCGGTCCTGGGTCATCGATCGTGTATCCTCGATCATCGATCCTGGATCGTCGATTCTGGACCGTACATCCTGGGTCAACCGCGTCGCCCCAAAATGACCCTGGGATCGAACCTCCCACAGGGGGGCCTGCGACCCGACGCGACCTCAAGATGGCCTCAAGATGACTCCAAGACAAACCTGTGAACCGAACGATGCAACGGCCATCCCTGCGGACATCCGCCCAGGCGCAGATAGGACCGCGCGCGCGAGGCTGTGGCAACTGGAATCTGACTTGCACGGAGAGCATGCGACACGGAACAATCCAATACTGTGATGATAAGAGGAGAGAGTGGGAAGAGGAATAGGTCCGCGGCGTCTGTGTGAGCGTACATGAGACCAGAAACTCGAATGTCAGGAAGTCTCAAGCGAAATCGTCGTTTTCTGGTGGCATGAGATGCGACAAAAAGTAATGTGTGAGGAAGTCCCACGCGAAATCGCCACTG